ACTGAGGGGTAACAGATCTTCACCCTCAACTTTAATTGCTTATTTGGGTGTTTTCCCCCTAAATATTGTGCATTATATTTTAAAATTGGCCTCCAAGAACATCAGCAGGGCCAAAAGCAGGGTCAGGGCAATGGTTCCATCTGAAATAGGTTGTTTTCTCCACTGTGTCCTCACAGGACCGGGGCGGGGGCTCTCTTCTCTTCCTCTTTTTATAAGGACACCAACCCCCTCAAGGATGTGGCGCCTTCAGGACCTCATCTAAACCTAATTAGCTCCCGAAAGCCCCACCTCCTAATGCCACCACCAGGGGGGTTAGGGATCCATAACATCACGTTACGGAAAGGATCGCCTCCAACACTGTATTTTACTGCCTTACAGGATACCGGTTTCGCATCTGTTAGCAAGTTTATTTCGGCATTCGTGATTGCCTCTAAGTGTCTGTTCTTCAAATGTCCTTTGACCTGGACTTAACATCTTGCTGGTCCTTCATTAATCAATGAGTGTTCACTTTATATTTGCATAAGAATCACTTTTTAAGCTTTTGAAAATTATCCATTGGTATCGCTGCTTTGTGCATATTTCTTGTAGGACAGAGAAGAATGAGTATGTTAAGACGATTGGGAACCAGGTTTCCCACGGAGGAAGAATGAGGATAAGCACAGGAAAGGGGGCGGGGCACGGTGCTGCGTCTGAACTGGAGGGACCCTCATTTGGTCAGTGTTTTTTCTAACTCTACTCACTGCAAGGCCCGAAAGCAGTAACATCTAGTACCAGTGAGCACACCCAGAGTCCAGATTTTGGTTTCTAAATACCACTCCCCACTAAGAAGAGCCAGTGTTCCCTGAGGAAATGGCTGGTTGCAGATGTGGTGCCACCAATACCACCACCTGTGCTTCCTGCCAAATGGCTCCTGGCTCTTTTCTGTGCTCGGAACCCTCCTCTGGGTCGCCAGATCCTCTCACCCCTGTCATCACACACGTGGTGTCATGCCTCTGAAATGCATTTCTCTGGGAAAGTCCAGGGAGAGTCTGACTACTTTGCTGTGCCATAAATCAAGAACGTATTCAAACACTGACGGTGATGTGTCGGAAGGACGTTGGGGCCATCTTAGGGGTTTCCCACTGGCCAGGTTCAGGATAAGTTAAGCACTGAAGAATCATGGTGTTATTGAAGTAGAACACACTGAATTTTTTAAAATCAGTAATTAATGATATTCAAAAAAGAGGCAGGGCTAAAGAAAAGCTCTTATTTATAGAAAAATACCAGATAATAAACGTAGAAGAAATAAAGAATTGGAAAAATCACTATTTTGCAACCACTCATACAACAAATGACACGGGCAAGGTTACCAGTGGAAACCATTAGGTAAAAGGGGGTGACGTTGGTGGGGAAGCAGGATATTCACACAGTGTCCAAGCATCGCCTTGCAGATTACTTGTTAACTACAGAAGGGAAATATCTACCTTTAATATGGGGAGATACAATGGATGTCACCGTGACCAATTAATCAAATTTAGCATGGACACTGAGACAGACTGGCGTGTGTGCCCCCGAAGGGAAACACCGTGGACGCATCGTGGCCAAGGCCATATTCTTACCGAAAGTGTGAAACCTGAGTCTAGCTCTGAAGAAACAACCAGACAAGTCCAGATTGTGGGACGTCCTACACAAGAACTTGCCTTGACTCTTCAAAAACGTCCATTTCCTGACGGGAACCCAGGGCGATACAAAAACATGGGGCTCCTTCTTCAGAAATTATTAAGATTTCAAGACAGCGATGCAGGCACCACACCACGCCCAGGGCCACGAAAGCGCAGGGTCTGTGCGTGCACACAGGTCACGGCCCGTGAAACCTGCCCTGTTCAAAAAGGGCAAACAGGGCGTGGCTCCGTTCAGGTCCGAGGATGAAAGGGTCATAACAACGAAATGAAATGCCTGATACTTGACTGTATCCCCGATTTAAGCAACAGCAAACACTATAAAGGATATGGGGGGCAGTAATTGGGGGAAATTTGAATATAGGCTTTAGAGTAAATTTTATTGCAACGGTGTTAAATTTCCTGGGTATGGCAGTGATACTGTGTTGCATAAGAGAATATCCTTGTTTGTAGGAGACACAAGCTGATGTACTTAGGGGTGGCATCTGCAACTTACTTTCAAGTTGGTTAGAAGAGAGCGAGGGAGCAATTGGCAAAACTAACTGCCGTTGAATCTTCTGAAGGGCTCCTTACACTATTCTTTTAACTTTTCTGAATTTCTCAAAATACAGTTTCAGGGGAAAATTCACTTGCCAACTTAGAATCTCTAAGCAAAATTGTGAGCAATGGCATAAAAACAATTAATAAGGTTACACATGAGGGTTTTCCCAGATCTCAGAGCAAAAGGACAGAGAAAAAAAAAAAAAATGACAGGACGAGGTGACCTCATCTGCAGGGAGAACAAATACCAGAAGGAAGAGAGAGCAAGGCAGACGCAGCGCTCAGAGTGATAACAGAAAAATGATGCCTAAGTAAAGATATATACCTAACACAAGTCGGAACAAACACAAACAGAAGGATTGAGATACGTGACAGTGAGGGTTTCTGTTTTCTTCCAGTGTTGGGCAGGGGCGGGAGATAATCACAAGTATCCACAAAGACGCAGAAAAGCAGGCTGGACTCAGACTATTCCAGGAAAGGGAAGGGGAGGGCAAAATGCGGTCCCCAATATCATTATACCCAGACGAGCTGTTATTCATCTGTGAACACAGAATAAAAACACTTTCAAATAGGCAAGAATTCACAAAGTCCATCGTGGGTATTAAACCGCAGCTAATATCCCGGACACTAAAAGAGCTCTCGCAAATCAATAGGAAAAGAAATCTCTTTTAATTGTACATTGTCGTACTGTTCACGATCTAACCCATGTCCTGGCTCTCCCCATCCTACAGCTCCTGTAAACCCCCTCTGTGCTCCCAGCAGGGACCGGGCTTGGGAGTTTCCGTCTTTCCACCTGCCATGGAGACCTCTTTACTGAGATGTCTTGCGGCATTTCAAAGTCATGTCGGCCAAAACCAACCCCACGTTCCTCCAACTCCCGATTGTTTTACTTACATGCCCTTGGAAGTTGGTGTTATTCCCTGTCCTGAAGCCCGAAAGCCACCCCGGACCCCACCTCTCCTCCACGGCCCACGTCACCACCACCACCACCTGTGCTTCCTGCCCAACAGCTGGCTCCTGGCCCTTCTCTGCGCTCTGAACCCTGCTCCCGCCCCTGTCACCACACAGGCAGCTTCGTGCCTCTGACATGGGTTCCCCTGCCCTGTGTCTACACCCCTAATGACCTGGCCCCTGCCCTCCTCTCATTCCTCCAAGATACATGCACCCTACAGCCATGCCGGCCTGTGCCGTCCTTGAGATACACCATTCCTTAGACCTGCCTGTCTCCCTCTTGGCCCCAGGGCCTTGCGATGCATTGGCTAAAATAGCCTGCCTGGGACTTCCCTCTTCTGAGGCCCCCGTCCTGAAGTGCCGGGCTAGGTGAAGTGTTCTCATCCCATGGCACTGGGCACACTCCTGTATCAGAGCAGACAGCGTGGGGCTTCACGTCTATTTCTCTGTCCCAGAAGCTGCAGAATTACTCACGGACAGAACTGCCCTTCACTTCTGCACCCCTGGTCCCTGACGTGGCCCAGGCCCACGGGGGAAACAAAGGACAAGCCCGTGATCACCAAATGCTTCACAACATCCTTTCACCCTCGTGCTGCTCGGGAGGTGTGGCCTGGGCTTTCAACTGCCGAAGCTTCAGGCTCTGAACCCTGATGAGAGGAATGTGTGTTAGCACAGCCCCCGCCCCTTCTAAATTTGGGGGCTCTCTCCTGTGTGAGTCTTGATTGAAAAGCGGGGTGCACACATGACCTCCTGCTATGGGGGTGAAATCGCCAGACACTGGGTTTTCCAGCCTCCCTGCCCCGCCCCATCAGATCCACCCAGGCCGGCTTTGACACGGGAGCTCGTGAAGCACAGAGGCACCCGGAGGCCTCTCTGTGGCAGCAGCAGACGCTTCCCTCCCAGAACCAACACTCGATTCTCGGCAACTCCTGACGGCCTCGGGCCACCTCGCCTTCCTTGACTTCACAAACCTGCCCTTCCTGGCTCAGCTGGAGGCAATTTCCTTGCTTGCAACTGAAACCTGACTGATGAAACAGATATAATCCTTTGAGGCCAAGAATTTTGAAAGGGTCAGTTGTAAACCGGGTCAAAACCACAGTTGCAAATAAAGTGTGATTGCGAAGAGACAAGTGTAGCTTTCACGTTTGTCTCAAGAACTGTCTGATGCAGCCGTGACGGAGGAGCCCCCGTGCCCTTGGCAGTGCTCACACCAGTGCCGGCCCCCCGAGATGACCGTGACGGGCTGAAGGGCACGTGCTTGGACACACAGCTACCAGACACTGTCACTGACTTAGTCTCACCTTATTACATGGACACCCGAACAGCTCTCAGAAAGTAGTTCCTGGCGTTGCTGTACACCTACAGGCACACTATCGCATTGGGGATTAAAATGAAAAGACAAGTCTGCAGGTGAAGTGCAAGGTCACCTTCTAAACGTGTCCACTTTCACAGCTGACTGTCACTAAGCCACTCTCCTGTCTCTGTCACCAGTGGGTCCACCAGCATCCAGCCCCCGCCCCGTCATTGGTGGGGGTGCAGTGCTCCAGGTGCAGCAGTGATGACGGTGGGTTTCTGAAGCAGCTTCATACTCAAGGACTTTGTCCAGTATCAGAGCTCGAGCTGCCGTGCACCGAATTCTGCACGAGTGGGCAGACTCCACCCCGAGTGCACAAGGAGAATGTGCGCTCACACGGATCGGCCCTTCCCTGGCCCCCTCAGGAGCAGGATGTGGTTTCGGGTCATTCCCACCCTTGCGGCATCACACTGTGGGCCGCCTGCAGGTCTGGCCGCGGCTCCGGGAGGGCAGTGGTGCCGTCACAGCGCCGGGAGGTGGGGGAGGCCAGCGCTTACCTGCCTGTGCAGCCGTGATGAGGGCCGTGTTCCCCTCGCTGTCCTGCCAGTTGACGTCAACGTGGGGGCACTCTGCTAAGGCCACTACAGTATCCACAAAGCCATGGTAGCAGGCGACAATGAGGCCAGTCTAGAAACGAAGAGGGGAAGCGGGTCAGAGGGGCAAACCTGGGGCATCACCGGTCAGAGCAGGGAAGCCCAGGGGACACCCACTGCCCCTCAGGCAGCCGGGACGAGCAGCGGTGAGGACCTCGAGTTAGTTCTGGTTCTCACGGCAGTTTAGAGCAAGCCACTTGTGCACTCTCAGATGCCCACTGAGCACCGACTGGGGCCCAAGGCACCGGGAACTGAACGCCGGGGCCCCCGCGGGGCGAGCCTTCCTAAGGGAGGGAAGCATAAACCACGGAGCTCACATATAGAGATTTCCTTTTAGAGACAGGATCTCATTCTGCTGCCCAGGCTAGAGCGCAATGGTGCAATCATAGCACACTGTACCTCGCGCTCCTGGGCTCAAGCGATCCTCCTGCCTCAGCCTCCCGAGTAGCTAGGACCACAGGCACGTGCTACCATGCCCACCCAGCTAATTATTTTTATTTTCATTTTTTGTAGAGATGAAGTCTTGCTGTGTTGTCCAGGATGGTCTCAAACTTCTGGGCTCAAGCGATCCTCCTGCCTCAGCCTCCCGAGTAGCTGGGACCACAGGCACACGCCACCATGCCCACCTAATTATTTTTATTTTCATTTTTTGTAGAGATGAAGTCTTGCTATGTTGCCCACGATGGTCTCGAACTTCTGGGCTCAAGCGATCCTCCCACCTCAGCCTCCCAAAGTGCTGGGATTACAGGTGAGCCACCTCGCCCGGCTGGAGCTCATACATTAAATAAATGTCAGAGTATGTAGACAGCAGAGGGGGCAAGGGAGGCTGTGAGGGTAGAGCAGGACATGGGTGGTCAGGGTGGGCTCAGGAGGTGAGTGGGGGCCCAGGTGTGCAATAGGTAAGGCAATAGCGCGGGGCCGTGGAGAGGGGAAAATGTCCCCAGCAGAGCAAACAGCTCGAGCAAAGGCCCCAAGTCATGACGGGTCCTGGACCATCCAAGGAGCAGCTGGTACCAGCAGGCTCAGAGCAGAGTGGGCAGGGGTGGGGAGAACCCAAAGTCCAAGAGGCCACAGAGAGCTGGGAGGCCATGGCCAGGACCCCAGGGTTCACCTGAGTGTGGGGAGCGTCCTGAGCAGTTGCTGTCAATCACTTGCAGCCACTCTGGCTGCTAGGTGGAAAACAGGCTCCAGGAGACCAGGGTAGGAGCAGGGCCACCTGTCAGGAGGCCGCTGCAGAGCCAGGCAGGCAAGGACATCAGGGTAGGGGCAGTGGGTGCGAGACGAGTTTGGATTCTGGAATCTTGGGAAGGTAGATTTGCTGTGGGAATGGAGGTGAGTGTTGAGAGAAAGAGAAGGGTCCAGGGAGCCTCCAGAGTTTCAGCTGCAGCAACAGTGCGAATGCAGTTGCCCTCAAATGAGATGCAGAAGACACAGGCAGAGCAGGTGCGGGAAAGATGGCACGGGGACTTCAGCGCTGCATCCGAGACTGTTGTTGGACAGCCAGGGCGAGACGTTGGGTAGACAGGTGGACAGCAGCATGGAGTCGCAAAGAGTGAAGTCCAAGCTGAACAGATAAACAAGTTGATCATGATTTTGAAGATCTATTAATTAAATATTTACCAACCATTGAAATCCTAACCCCCAAGGTGATGGTACTAGGAGGTGGGGCCTTTGTGGGGTGATGAGGTCAAGAGGGTGGAGCCCTCATGTACTCTGATGAAAGGGACCTCAGAGAGCGCTCTTACCCCCCTGTGCACCATGTGACAACACAACAAGTTGACAGTCTGCAATCCGGAAGAGGGCCCAGCTGGACCCGACCATGCAGGCACCCTGGCTGTCCAGCCTCCAGAAGTGTGAGAAATAGACTTCCATTGTTTATAAGCCACCAGTCTGTGGCGTTTTGTCATAGCAGCCCAAGCTGACTAAGATACCGTGTAACAAAGGAAACAGCCTGGGGCACATTGCGATGTTAAAATTCAAGCCAGTTAGCCGGGCGCAGGGGCACCCGCCTGTAGTCCCAGCTACTCAGGAGGCTGAGGTAGGAGGATTGCTTGAGCCCAGCAGTTTCAGGCTGCCGTGAGCTAGGATGACTCCACTGCACTCCGGCCTGGGCGACACAGCAAGACCCTGTCTCAAAAAAAAAAAAAAAAATTCAAGCTACCATTAGAGTTTGAATTAGAGCTACCAATGAAGGGACTCTATGTGCTGCCAGCCCCACTACATGGGGTCACAGACTGTAGGTTTAGAGCAACCCCACACTGGTCAAGCCCTATTTTTATGAGATTTTTGATAAGAATGTAATTTTTCATGGAACAAGGAGAAGGCAGGAGCAGCTGCCTGCTTATTCCAATATGGGTCCTAGCTGCCCTTCCAGAAGAATATTCACTCACAAATATTAACGTTTTTAAAGTTCCAGAGAATACCATTGATTTTTTTTAACCCTGACATCCATACCACAGCATAGTCAAGTAAAGGCTATTTGATATACTCGAGCTAGCTCAAGCATTCTTTGAAATAGTCATTCCATCTGGAGAGTGAAATGTTTCACAATAATTTAATTTTAAAGAGAAAAGAGCATGGAGTGAGCTGCAAACAGACTCCACTTAGAAGCTGCTGAGGTTTTCAGTTTCTCTGACAACTCAAGAGTTCACTGACACCAACGCCTTCATTCTCCCACCAAACTTGCCAGCGCGCCGTCGCGGAAAACTTGCAATTCCACCCGGCGAGGACCCAAAACTCACGCCAAAATTCTTTGGATTAAAGTAGTTCTCCAGTACTCTACACTTCCTTGAGTTATAAATGAGGCATAAGGAGCACAATGCAACCTCTTTATTTTTACATAATTATACAAGTAGCTCATATTTATTATAGAAAAAAATCCAAAAATCATAAAGAAAAAAATTATAGACTAGACACACATACACACTTTTTCCTTAAACTAAAATCGTATTATTTTAGTTTCAGTCAGGAGCATATCAGCAACATCTTTTCACATCAACAAAAATACCTGTGTCAAAATTTCTAATAGATATAAAGAACTATATTCTACGTGTGGTAGAATCATACTTATTTAACAAATGCCTACTTTTGGACACTTAGATTATCTGTTTCTCATTTTTCTCTAAGTAAACCCTGCAATAAAAATCGCTAGAGCTGAGGCTTTGTGCATATCATTCCTTATTTTCTCGGGAGACATTCTCAGCAGTATTTCTGGACTAAAGGAAATAGATATTTTGATCCCTTTTAAGGTATATTGCAAACCTGTCCTTTAGAGAGGTCTGGAATGGCTTCTGCCATTGCCAACCTCAACATCCAACCTGTACTTGAGGACTCGGGGTGAGAAGGAAGACTCCTGGTCGGTGGGAAGAGAGGGATGCTCTCAGGGGCTCCGGAAGTACCTGGTTCTTAAATTAGGTCTTTCAGGACCAACCTCACCCCCATGTCCTCTTCCCCCAACGGGTGAGGGCGTCTGTTCTAGAAACACAGCCCTGTCCTCTTCTCTCTCCTGCTCCTCCAGCCCCCTAAGGTAGGCTTCCCAAAATGCGCAGCAGCCTCTGCTGGGAGTAGCCTCGGACGTTTTTCGCATATTCTTTGGTCAGAAATGACGATTACCAAGAAAAAGAAACAGACAACTTATCTCAAGGGTTGAGGATAAAATGGCACCAGACACACGAGCCGTGACTCTAGTCCCCACACAGACTCACGTTACTATTGAAAATCTTCGCCTTTGTCGCCTGCCTGCTGGGGTCTGTTCCAAAAGACTGACATTTCCAGGTTTAAAATTGGTATTTAACAGTAGTTTACATTGTCTTTTTGGCCGAAGACTCTTTGGTGTCCCCAAAGGGGAGTGGAAGGGGAGGGACGATCTTTGGCAACACCTGATCACCGTCTGCTGAGATGACTGCCACTGAGGCTTGAAACTCAGGTACGGACCGTCCACTTGCTCCGTCGACAGAAACCCACTTGCAGGTGGCTCTCTGAAGCCACCAATAAGTTATTTTTTACATTACAAGCAGAGCATTCATGAGACTAAAATAAGAACATCATTAAGAAAAAAGTAAGCCGCCTATGAGTCGAAGCCCCCATTTGGAGATCAGCTAGAAATTCCAAGCCCTCAAAACACAATCCTAATTTTCAAAGCCTACATGCAGTAGGAAAGTTGGAACAATGAAAAAAATAAGTGGAGATGTTTCTGCTTAAAAATTATAAGGGTTCAGGCTGGGCGCAGTGGCTCATGCCTGTAATCCTAGCTCTCTGGGAGGCCGAGGCAGGCGGATTGTTTGAGCTCAGGAGTTCAAGACCAGCCTGAGCAAGAACGAGACCCCGTCTCTACTAAAATTAGAAAGAAATTAATTGGACAACTAAAAATATATTAAAAAAAATCAGCCAGGCATGGTGGCGCATGCCTGTAGTCCCAGCTACTCGGGAGGCTGAGGCAGGAGGATCGCTCGAGCCCAGGAGTTTGAGGTTGCTGTGAGCTAGGATGACGCCACAGCACTCAATCCAGCCCAGGCAACACAGTGAGACTCTGTCTAAAAAAAAAAAAAAAAAAAATTATAAGGGTTCTACATCAAAAAACAAAAACAAACAAACCAGAATCCCATTTCCTGCAGGAAGAAAGGATGATTTAACACTCTGGAATCTAATAACATCATTATTATGTTAACAAATTAAAGGCAGGAGAGAGAGAGAGATAATCATTTAAGTGGGTTAAAGCTCTCAACACACACACACGCACACACACATGCATGTACACACACATGCATGCAGTTGGAAATTGCATAGAAAGCATCTAGAAGGATCACAGCAAAATGTTAAGAATAGAAGGAAGGGGACTTGGAGGTGCGTGATGATTAATTTCATGTGTCAACTTGGCTAGGCCACAATACCCAGGTATTTGGTCAACCACTATTCTAGATGTTTCTGCGAAGGTATGTTTTTAGAAGAGACTGACATTTAAACCAGTGGACTTTGAGTGAAGCAGATTACTCTCCACAGTGTTGGTGGGCCTCATGCATTCCATTGAAGATCTTC